GGGGTGACTTCATCAGGAAGATATAACAATTTTAAACTTATATATATCCAACACTACAGCACCCAAAAATATAAAGAAAATATTATTAGAAGATGTAGACTGCAATATAGTAATAGTAGGGGACTTTAACACTCCACTTTCAGTAATGGAAAACCATCCATAAAGAAAATCAATAAAGAAATATCAGATATAAACTACACTCTAGACAAAATAGACCTAATGGAGTTTTATACAACATTTCACCCAATAGCGGCAGAATTCACATTTTTCTCAACTGCACATGAAACATTCTCAAGGATAGATCAAATTTTAGGAAGCAAAATTCCTTAAATTCAAAAAATTGAAGTCATATGAAGTATCTTCTGACAACAAAGGTATAAAACTTGAAATCAATAACAGAAGGTACTTCAGAAACTTCACAAATACACGAAAATTGAACAACGTGCTCCCAAAGAGCCAATGAGTCAATGGAAAATAATTAAAAGAGAAATTTTAAAATCTATTGAGACAAATAAAAATGGAATCACAACATACCTAAATCAGTGAAATATAGCAAAAGCAATTCTAAAAGGGAAATTTATAGCAATGAATGCCTATATCAAAAAAAGAAGAAAGATCTAAAATAGCTAACCTAAGTTTCACCTCAAGGAGCTAGAAAAACAGGAACAAACTCAGCCCAAAATTAGTAGAAGGAAGGAAATAATAAAGACCATGGCAGAAATAAATGAGATAGAGACTAGAAAAACAATACAAAAGATCAATGAAATGAGTCAGTTTTTAAGAAGATAAAATTGACAAACTAGCTAGACTAAATAAGAAAAAAAAGAAAATTCAAACAAATAAAATCATAGATAAAAAAGGAAACATTACAACTGACATCACAGAAATACAAAGGATCATAAAAGACTATTGTGAGCAATTATGTGCCAACAAATTGGTAACTTAGAAGAAATAGATAAATTCATGTGTACATAAAACTTCTCAGGATTGAATTATGAAGAAATAGAAAATCTGAACAGAGCAATAACAACTAAGGGAATTCAATCAGTAATAAAATGTATCCCATTAAAAAAAAAAAAAAAAAACCTAAAACCTGATGGCTTCACCGCTCAATTCTACCAAACATTTAAAAAACTAATACCAATTCCTCCCAAATGATTTCAAAAAAAATTAAAAGAAGAAAACACTTCCAAACTCATTCTAAGAGACCAATATTTATTTGATGCCAAAACCAGACAAAAACACAACAAAAAGAAAACTACAGGCAATATCTCTGATGGACATAGATGTACAAATTCTCAACAAAACACTAGCAAACCAAATTCAACAGAATGTTTTAAAAATTCCTTTACCATGATCAAATGGGATTCATTTCAGGGATGAAAAAATGGTTCAACATGCAAATCAATAAACATGATATTATCACATTAACAAAATCAAGGATAAAAAAACAACATGATCAATACATGGACAAAAAGCATTTGAAAAAATTCAACATTCATTCATGTTAAAAACTCTCCAAAAATTAGGCGTGAAAGAGATGTACCTCAACATAATAAATGTCATATATGACAAGCCCATAGCTAATATCATACTGAATGGGGAAACATTGAAAGCACTTCTCTAAAATCTAGAACAGGAGAAGGATGTCCAATTTTGCCATTTCTATTTAACATAATACAGGAAGTCCAAGCCAAAGTATTAGCCAGGAGAAAGGAAAAAAAGGGCATCCAAATTGAGAAAGAAGTTAAATTGTCCCTGATGGCAGATCAGATCATCTTATATATAGAAAACTCTGGACTCCACCAAAAAGTGTTATCTAACAAATGAATTCAGGGAAGCTGCTGGATACCAGATAGATAGATGGATGATAGATAGATAGATAGATAGATAGATGATAGACAAATTAATAAATCAGGAGTGTTTCTATATACTAATAGTAGTATATAGTAGTGTTTCTGTATACCTGCAAAATAAATTAAGAAAACAATTTTATTCACAATAATTATTTTTTAAAAATACTTAGGAATAAATTTAACTGAAGAGATGAAATAGCTCTACACTGAAAACTATAAAACATTAATGAAAAAAATTGAAGAAGATGCAAATAAATTGAAAGATATCACATGTTCATGGATTGGAAGAATAAATATTGCTAAAATGTCAATACTACCCAGAATACTCTACAGATTCTATGCAATCTCTATCAAAATACCAGTGACATTGTTTACAGAAATAGAAAAAAAAAATCCCCCAAATTTGTATGGAACAACAAAAACAATAACAGCTCAAACAATCTTGAAGAAAAAAAGCTGGAGGTAGTACACTACCTGACTTCAAAACATACTACAAACCTATAATAATCAAAACAGCATGATACAGGCATAAAAACAGACACATAGACCAATGGAACAGAATAGAGAGCCCAGAAATAAATCCACACATTTATAGCCAACTGATTTTCAACAAAGGTGTTAAGAATACACAATGTGTAAAGGACAGGGTCTTCACTAAATAGTGTTAAGAAAACTGGATATCCACTTACAGAAGAATGAAATTAGATTTTTATCTCTCACCAGAGACAAAAATCAACTCAAAATGAATGAAAGACTTACATGTATGACCCTAAACTGAAACTACTAGGAAAAAACATGGGGGAAAGCTCTATGTCATCAGTTTGGCTAGTGATTTTTTGGTTATAACCTCAAAAGCAAAAGCAATGAAAGCAAAAATAGACAAATGGGATTACACACAACCAAAAGATTTCAGCATAGCAAAAGAAACAATCAACAGAGTGAAGAGACAACTTACAAAATAGAAAAAAGTATTTGCAGTCAATACATCTGAGAAAAAGTTAATATTCAAAATATACAAGAAATTCAAACAACTCAATAGTAAGAAAACAACTCTATTAACAATGGTCTAATTCTCAGAAGAAGACATGCAAATGGCCAACAGGTATATGAAGAAATGTCCAACATCACTAATCATCAGGGAAATGTAAGTCAAAACCACAATGAAATATCACCTCATACCTGTAAGAATGACTATAAGCAAAAAGACCACAGATAACTAGTGTTGTCAAAGATGTGGAGAAAAGAGAATCCTTACATGCTGTTGGCGGGACTGTAAATTAGAAGAGCCATTATGGAAAACAGTATGGAGGCTCTTAAAATATAAAAAATTGAAATACCATCTGATTCAGCAATCCCACTGCTGGGCATGTATTCAGAGGAAATTAAAGCAGTGTGTTAAAGAGATCTCTGCACTCCCACATTTACTGCAGGACTATTCACAATAGCCAAGACAGGATCAATGCAGATGTTCATCAATGAATAAGTGTACAAAGAAAATGCAGCATATATACTATTCAGCCATAAAAAATAATGAAATCCTATCATTTGCAACGTGGGTGAACCTGAATGGTATTATGTTAAGTGAAATGAGGTTGGCACTGGAAGACAAGTACTGCACTATCTTACTCACAAGAGGCTTGGGTAGTAGGGGGGAAGAAAGAATGAGAAAGTGTTGTTCAAGGAATATATAATTACACTTAGATATGGAGGAGTCCAGAACAGACAAATAAAGAGAGACAGAAAGTAGATAATGATTGCATGTGGCCAGAGGATAGAGGGGTAAGGATAGGTGAAGGGTTGGGAAAAAATTGGGAATGCCTGCTAGGCATTGGGTATGGAGTTCTTCCTCAGATGATGAGAACATTCTAAAATTGTGGTGAGAGTTGCACCACCCTGCGACTTTAATAAAAACCATTGACTTGTATAGCTTAAATGGGTGAATTGTATCACATGTGAATAATATTTCAATAAAGCTGCTTTTATAAAAGGTATTATAGCATGTTTATATGTTTATGGGAATAATTCAGAATGAAGAAACATATTGATGATGGAACAAAGTTTTTGAGAAAGTAAGAGGCTCACGGGCTCAACGCACAAGTGGAGCAGTCTTGTCATCAACAGGATGAGGGGCAATACATTCATGGTAGGGGAAGAGAAGGCAGCGTATATGAATGCAGAGGTGAGTGGGTCAATAGCAATAGAAAGATGAAAGAGTTTTCTTCTAGCTGCTTTTATTTTCTCAATGAAATATGAAGCAAGATTATACAATGAGAATGAACAGGGAAGTTTGAGGTGACAGGATAAGGCATGCAATAGCGATCACGGAGCAACATGGACTATGAACAAATAGGATGATTGCCTGGCATTGTTGTTGGCTACCTGAGATTCAGGGGTCCTACACTTAAAAAAGGATAAGTCATCAGGGTCTTGCCTTAAAAAAAAAAAAAATCCCATTCAGCTGTTTATGCCAGGGAGTGAAGCAAGCAGAAGGGCATATAAACCAGGAGAGTGCTATGGGGAAAGAGAGATGAAGGTGCACTCAAGGGAGGGCTGTGGCAGTGAGCTGAAGAATTTGAGCTGAGTGCCATGAGACGGGAGCACATGAAGTGTACTCAGCAAAAATGGTGAAGTAGTCCTGGAGCAATTGGAAGACATGCTGGAGACAGAGCGTGGGAGAAAGTGAGCTAGAAACACAATGTAGTCGGGGGATACATGCTGAAAACAAAGGAGTGTGACAAGTTCTAAGGTCTGACGATGGGAATGGGGAGTCAGAAAGAGATAAAAGGAAATACTGTTGATAGTAAGAAGAGCAAGGAATTCAGATGCTAAAAATTGTTATACAGATGATTTTTTTTTTGCAGCTGTTGAAAACACTGAGAACAAAGACAATTATTGATGCTGAAGGAAGATAGTGAACACTCCCTATGAGATAAAACCGAAATGATAGTTTTCTTGAAAATTCTGGCTTGTTGAAGTATCTACAACTTTTTTGCCTAACTCTGAGCCCCCAGTGGAAGTAGAGATCTGAGCATCCCCGAGCATCAGCTGACAGAACCTTAGCCCTGAGAAGTCCTTACAGCTCTTCAGGAAGCAGAGCCCAAGTATGATCGCATCCTATAGCCTGCTCTGAGTCGTCCAACTCACCACAGATCAACAGCAACAGCCTTGGCAGCATGAGGACCAGGTCAGGGTTGGTACCTAGAGATGCCTCTCATCAAAAAAAGAATGCACTTCAGAGTCGAGCGGCAGCAGCTCATCAGAGGTTTGAGGAAGTTGGGATGGGGAGTTACCCTTCAGCAGAGTAGAAGAAGAAAGAAGAGCCCTCCAATGACCCGTCTGCATTTCCTCTTCTATGAAGGCTGAGAAAATTAAAGATACTCCTTTTTCAACTTAGTTTGATTCAACTCCACAAGTTGCACCTAATACACATCACTATTTGAGGGACTTCTTCAAGAACGCATGTATCTCAAAGGAAGTTTCTTAAAGGCAGTTTCTTACTTTGATGAATCTCATTAGGTGATGGTCCTGTTGAAATTCATCTTTGATACATCTACAATACTTTTTACCTTTGTTAGGGCTGTCTCCTGGATTGTTTCCAATAGGCACATTCTTCTTTCTCAGCAATATAGGCCCACTATGCAAACTTTCTCTAGTGTAGTCACATTATGCAAGCATATCAGTACATCTGAGAATGATGGGCTGTTACCCAGGTTATGTGTAGGATCTGACCCTTGTTGCATATGATGACTTGTGTACAGGGTCAAGCTGTTCATACAGATATGTGTTTTGATATTTAAACTTTCAGTGTACCAGTAAATGAGCATGAAATCACTGAAAAATAAAATCATGGCAAATTACAATCTGGAGGATGGTTGAAAATGAAATACAGAAAAGAAGCACATGCAAATTAGCTTCAGGGCACTTGAGAAGTGTTCACCATTAGTACTAACTCTGGCATTGATAAAATTGGCTCTGTTTTACCTCAAAATCAGGGAAACTATAATCTCTCCCATTCCTACCTTGAGCACATTAGGGCTACCAGTTCTAGGCAAGTGACATCTAGACTAGGGATTGGAGGAGAATAAACCATTCTTAATTTTCAACATTTCTTAAGTCTGTGAGTGTCTAGGATTAAGAATAACTAGAATGTGTGGAAGGTAAGCTCTTAGGGGAAAGATGCTATCAGGCAATGGTGTCTAAGTCCAGGTATCCAGTCCACTGAATAGGACTGAGAAAAGAAACTAGTGATCAGTGTTACACAAAACTAGAGGCAAAAGGGAGCAATGTTGGTAACCAGGCTAACAGCCCACGGAAAGTATTGAAAACAAATAGATAGCCCATGGCTTTATTCATTGGCTTGGGAAAGCCTGTGTGGGGATAAGCTTGCTTAGTGCCAAGTTTCAGGACCAAAGCAAAAATTCTCCTCAATGGGAATATAGAGCTCTCTAATCCAGGGTGTAAAGCTGTTTTTGCATGCAGCATGCTGTTTCATCTCTCACTTTTTCTTTTAATCTGTTGGGTTTTTTCAGTGTTTTAGTTGACACATTGTAATTGTACATATTCATGTGGTACAATTTGACATTGCAGTATAATACACATATATGTTGCACAGTGATGATCAAATCAGGGTGGTTGGCATATCCAGTGTCTCATGCAGTTTTCATTTCGATGTGGTAAGAACATTCAAAAGCCTCTTTCCCAGCTATTTTGTAATATATGATATCTTACTATTAACCATAGTCACCCTACTGTGCGATAAAAAACCCAAACCTTATTCTTCCTATCGATTGTCACTTTGTACACGTTGACCAATCTTTCCCTCTCTTCCCTCCCCCCATTCCCTCCTCAGTCTCTGATAAACACTGTTCTATGCTATACTTCCATAATATCAACTTTTTATTTTTTTAAGACTCCACATATAAGTAAGATCATATGGTATTTGTCTTTCTGTGTCTGGCTTAGTTGACTTAACATGATGCCCTCCAGGTGCATTCATGTTGTCATGAATGGCAGAATCTCATTTTGCATGGCTGAGTGGTATTCTGTTGTGTATATACACCACATTTTCTTTATGGATTCATCTGTTGTTGGAGCCTTAGGTTGATTCACATCACATCTCTTCCTGTGCTCCTGTGTATCTTGCTCCAGTACCTTCACCAGCTGTTCAGATTAAAATGTTTCCTCCTCCACAGATATAAAGGCTATAGCATTATTTGTTAAGCTCTCTCACACTTTTATTTTTATAATGTGATTGTTCATGCATGCAAAAAAAAGTAACATGCATATAAATTATGAAATACTATGATGAAATGAAAAACCATGAGCCTATCCTCAGGCTGTTCAAGACCTTGAACATAACTAATATACATTGCATCTACTTGAGTGTGCCTCTGAATAATTTATTTATGTTCCTCTTTCTTAAAAAATCAGCGTATTGAGTTATAATTAATATACATTGAAATGAACTCATCATAAGTATATAATTCAATGATTTTTGACAAACACACACAATGATGTGAATGCAATCTCTGTTATGATCTAGACCATTTCCATCACTTCAACAGGTCTCCTTGTGTGCCTTCCCAGTCACCCCAAATCTCCCACAACTAGGTAACTCTCCATCTGCTTTCTACTGATTAGATTTGCCTTTTCTAGAGTGTCCTATAAATGGAAACATGTAATATTTACCCTTTTGTTTCTAAGTTCTTTCCTTTGGCATAATATTTTTGGGATTTATCCATGTGTTATAAATAAAGTTGCTATAAACATTCATTCATGTACAAATTTAGGTAAGTATTCCAGAGTGAAATTATTGAGTGAAAATATGCTTATCTTTCCAAGAAACTGTTAAATTACTTGCCTAAGTGATTTTTACCATTTGATAATTCCACTAGCAGTCTGAATTCCAGTTTAACCAAACCCTCCCCAGCTCCTTTTTTCGGCCATTCAATGCATGTGTAGAAATACCTTATGAGTTTAACTTGCATTTTTTGGTAGCCAATGAAGCTGAACATTTCTCATGTGTTTATTAGCTCTTTGTATGTTTTCTTCCTTAAAATGTCTCTTCATATTATTTTCCTGTTTATTCACAAGGCTGCTTGTCCAATTATTGATTTGCTATATAGTCTGAGAAAGTCTTTCATCAGATTAATACATCATTAACATTTAAGCCAGTCTATGAACTGATGTCTTATTTTCCTAACAGTGTCTTTCAAAGAACAGAATTATCTACCAAGGCAGGAGAACCGCTTGAGCTCAGTAGTTCAAGAGCAGCCTGGGCAACATAGCAAGATCCTGTCTGTACAAGGAAAAATTTAAAATTCGCTAGGCATGGTGATGTGCACCTGTAGTCCCAGCTACTCAGGAGGGGCTGTTTTGAGGGAAACCTCTGTGGTTGACATAAGGATGTAAAGTCTTCTCCCACTGCTCCTCTAGGCCTGCATGGAGGTACCCTCCTCTTGCAGTTTTGTGGTCAAGCTGGTTGTCTTGTGTCAGATCCTGTTCCCCCTGCAGCTGTGAGCCCAGTGCTTTCCTTGCTGATAATTATAAGTTTAGGTTTAACCTCTATTCTAGCTAAAGTGTATGATTTCTATGCTGACACACAGAAAGTAACTTTTATATTGTTCGGCTTTTACAATATCATATTGTGGTCTTTGGTCAATGGTTGCAAATGTATTTTTTTTGTATGATTATTACTACAATGTTATGTAACCTCACTCACCCTCCCCTATTGAAAGAGCCTAAATAAAAAACCGACGTTTTCAGGGAAATGTTAGACATCCATGGAGCAGTGTTATATGGTATCTCCCCTGGGCCCAGCTTTGAAGAAAACTGTTTCTTTGTCTTTTTTTTTTTTTTTTCTTCACTGATCACTTGATCACTTTGAAAGATCTTGAATCCATGTTGACATATTGGGAGCTGGCCTTCCAATATAAGTATACAAGGCAGTTGGTACATCCAAGCAGACACTTAATTTCAGCTGCATGGTTGGTTTAGATGCTCCTTTAACCAAGATCTCAGGATGAGAAGACAGTTGGAGGAAACTTGAGCCCATCCTGCAGCCTAGAACCAAGCCCAGCTGAGGCCAGCTGAACCCCGCAAAATTTCAGCTGACCTATAGCTCTCAGTTTTATTTCTGGGCAAGAAATACAAGATTACATTGTAAACCATGAGATATTGGCGTGTTTTATTAGCACAATAAAAGCTAACAGAGTCACGTAACAGATTAATGGCTAGGAATTAAAATGCCTTATCACTTTGATTGTATTTTCAAAATAGTATTAGTTGTTTATTTAGTGGGGCTCTGCTATACACTGTTAGGGATTCACATTCTTTACTCCTCATGTTCCATGAAAGGGAGAGATTTTTCTCTCCATACTATGCTATTGAGGAGATACGACTTATTTGACAGGTGAATTTGTTCTGGAAACACAGAAGGTAAGCCCTGTCCAGGTCTAAATAACAGGAAGGGAAACATTAGAGGTCATTCCTGATTATGTGATCAGAGAGGGAGAAAGCCTTTGAAAACATGAGTTTGGGGCAGTACTTTACGAATTGGTAAAGCCTTAAAGAGACTTGGCCCCAGTTTGCTTTACTCAGTCTTCTGACCCATATGCGAATCTAACCTGAAAACACTCTTATAGGAACATTCTGAAATAATGTTATCTGGACACCTCATGACCCAGTCAAATGGACATAAACTCAATTATCACAAGTCCCTCTCTTGTCACATTGGCACCCATACACATCTCCTTAAACCACAGTTACATGCAAAATGAAGACCATCATTCCACCACCATGATACAATTCTCTTACATACACCTAAAAACACACTAATCCCTTACCCAGAAGAGAAAGTAAAGTCCTGGAGTGATGTTTACTCTTCTTTATGTCTTTAATGTAAATACTGTGATGTAAAATTAACAGTTCTTAAATATCATAATAATAAGTTAATACATTTTAGTTACACAATAAGGGAATAAGAAAGATATACACACAAACACACATGAATATATATTTATAACAAAATGAGGAAGAGTACTCATAACAATTACAGTCATTATGTCTGACTGTTCACACGGTCATAGCTGGCATTTACAGTGGTCTTCTTTTACTACCCATTCTGTGTTCCCTTTCCTTCAGCAAGCACTTCAGCTGGCTATGGTTCTTTACCTCATGAAGTGACCCAAACCTTCAGTCCTGAAGAGTCTGGGCCATTAGTAGCCTTGCCTTGAGTTGCTTGTTATCATTATCCATTGACATCCTGAATCACAAGGCATGGTAATAGTGTAAGATGTCCTAAGGAATCTCTTGCATTCTAGCTATACTCTTCCTTATCTCCATCTTGAAATAGTAGCCTAATTTTCCTTCGGTAGTAGGATCAGCTGCCCTGGTCAGCACAGTAACTCTCTTCTCTGTCTGTTGATTCAGAGCCATGAGAATTCCAAAATAGCTAGGTAGCTGTCTTAACTTCCAGTTCAATGGTATCATTGTACCTTCTGGTGGAAGCACTTTTCCCTCTAAAACTAATATCTCTAGTCCAGCAGAGCATAAGATCACAGGAGTAGAAAGCAGAAATTTTGGTAGTGAGTCACAGGGGTAATAGTGAGTGGTGCCACTCCCATTTCCACTTCTTAATACCTGGACCCATAAA